ATTATTATTGCTACTCCATTGTGTGTGTGTGTGTGTGTGTGTTCTTGGAGACTCTCTCTGTGTGTGCCTGGGCTTGCACTGTGATAATAATGATTGATGAACTGCTTTTTGCAGTGAGAGGAAAAAAGAAATAATAATATCAGATGAATTTATATTTATAATTGCTTATATACACGTATAGACTTACACCCATAGTTGGTGTATATTTCTGTGTTTACTGGATAAATTGGGCTAATGGTTAATATCTGTTTATTTGTTTGTTTGCTTGAGTCTTTGTGTGCTTTGACCACTACTGTTTTGGTAGAGTGAAAATATAATAAGAGAAATATTTATATTCATAATTGCTAATTAACTCAAGTGTACCCCGTTCTATCCGATTTTTGTGTTTGGATGTGTCGCTGGTGGTACTCGTAATTTATTTTTACTTTTATTCGGATTTTTGATAGGTGCTACTTTATTCGGAATTTTTTTTCTTATATTCGGTGTATTGTTTTATTTAATTGTTTTATTCCTTTTTTTTGCATGTTTGCTTCTTCCTTATTTTAGCTTGTTTTTGTTGTTTGTTTGTCAAGGTTTCCTCAACAAAAAAGAAAATATCTTTCCATGATGTTGTTTCCCAGCCGTTTGTTGTACTTATTGGCTGTGCTTCTGAACGTTTTGTGTGCGTGTGCTGTGACTGGTGAGCTTGAAGTCAAACGTTGCGATGGTAATTCTGAGTGTCTTCCTCCTGCACCATTTCAACAAGATTCCCATGGTTCCGGTGAACTTCCTGAATCTACTGATGATGTTCATTCTCTTAATCCTGCACTAGAAATACCGGTTCCTGTTCCATCTGGTCCTGAGTCTCGTATAGCTGAAAGCAGTAAACTTCACAATGGGGATGTAGATGTGGGAACTCATTCAACACGAGGTGGGACTGAGCTTCCCAGTGGAGAATAAGATCGTTCGGAAGATGAGCCTTCAATAGGAAAAGAAGACGAAATGAAAGGAGGTAGTGGCGGTTCTCTTACAAGTAATTTGAGGGCTGAAGAAGGAGTAAATGGATTGCAAGGTGCAAAAGGTGAAGTCGGTACGGAATCTCTAGCACCTGCCGCTCCTCCAGCTAAACCAGCAGCCCATCCTTCTGACGCTGTGGAAGAGCAGGATCGTGAACAAGGACATGGTAGTAAAGAGAAGGATTTGTTACCAGTAGATAACTCTAAACCTCAGCAGGGTGGAAACCCACAGGAGTCAACAAATAAGGAACCTCAGGTGCCACGAGATCCGCAATCTTCCAGTCAACCCAATGGGAACCATGAACTTCCACAGAATTCCCAACCTCAACTGCAGGGACCAATGCCTACAGTCCAAGAAGAGAGCCAGGAGAAGGAGCACAATGCAGAAAGCCAGAGTGGATCAAGTGGAAATACATCTACTAATGATATTCCAGCAACAGAATCCTCTTCCTCAGCATCTACTGCAGCTCCTGCCACATCTTCACAAGAAGATACTGGTGATAATAGTGTTACACCCAGTGAGGAGGAATCAACCACCAACTCAACCACTACAACCACCAACACAACAACAACAACACTTCCTCTTGAACTCACAAACGACAAGAAGGGTGATGCAGACAGCAGCAGCAGTATCAGCAGTTCTGTGTGGGTGCGTGTACCATTACTGATTGTGGTTACACTGGCCTGTATTCTTGTGTGCTGATTGTGATTGTGGTGGTGGTGTGGTGTGACTCAGGTCATCCTTTCTTTTCTTTTTCTTCTTTTTTTGCATACATCCACACTACAGTCTAACTAATCTTCCACCTGTTGGGATTATCTTCTTTTTTTGTTTCTTAATGTTATTGTGTGTGTGTGTTTTTGTTCTCTGTATGTTTATCCTATAATTATTATTATTGCTACTACTCCATTGTGTGTGTGTGTGTTCTTGGAGACTCTCACCGTGTGTGTGCACCTGGGCTTGCACTGTAATAATAATGAACTCCTTTTTGCAGTGAGGGAAAATGAAATAATAATAACAGATGAATTTATATTTATAATTGCTTATATACACATATAGACTTACACCCATAGTTGGTGTATATTTCTGTGTTTACTGGGTAAGTTGGGCGAATGATTAATATCTGTTTGTTCGCTTGATTATTTTGCTGAGGTGCTCGTTTTGGCCCTGCAAACTGTTTTGGTGCTGTTCTTCGTGTAGAAGGAATGAATAATAACCGATACACATGTGTTTTCAAAAGCACATAAATTGAAGAGTACCCACAGTTTTCTGATTAGTGTGTTTGATTATGCTGTGGGTATTCTTTAAAAAAAAAAAATTCTTAGTTTTTGATTCGGTGCTCTTTTTGTGGTGTCTATTGATATTTATGTTGATGGTGTTATTTTGTATGACTGTTTGTTTTTGTTTTTGTTCTCTCTGTTACCGTTGGGGAATGTGTTTGTGGTTATTTTACGTTCTGTTTGTTTTCTTTTTCTTTGTTTTCTTCTGCAGCTCATATACCCCAAATAAGAAAAAGAACTGTTGCCGTGATGTTTCTTTACCGTGTGTTGTATGTACTGGCATTGCTCTTGAGCATTATGTCTTTATGTGTGGCTACTGATAATCCTGAACTGCCTTCAGGTGAAGTTGGTGGTGGTGGTTGCACTCCTGATGAAAGTCAACCTCAAAAGTGTCCTCCAACTCCTGAAGGTCCTTCTGGTCCTCCTGGCAAAGCAGGTGATGCTGGACCTGTTGGTCCTTCTGGCCCTGATGGAGTTACTGGTGAAGACCCCAATGGTTCTGACGTTACTAGGGTAAATCAGCAAAATCCGACTAAAGGTTCCGATCCTAATACTCACTCATCACAAGGACAACCTTCTGGTGAACCAGGTAAGCAAGGTCCTGCTGGCCAAAATGCTGAAGGAAGCAACGTTCCTGGTCGTACCGAAGAGGTTCAGGAAGTCAATAAAGGTATTCGTCCTGTTACCACTGTTACTCCTGAATCTTCTACTTCTGTTCTCACTCCTGATCCTAACCCTACTGCTGGAAGTGATGGTGAGTCTTCACGTGATGGCAAAACGGGAAGCAACGGCAACAATACACGACGTGAGAGTGAAAATGAAGATAACAATGGAACTGCGGAAACACAACCTTCTGCTGACTCTCCTAACACTTCGGCCACAGTGAGTGGTGATGGTTCTGATACTGCAACACCTGAGAATGGCACTGCACCTGCAGAGAGTGAGTCAACAAATAACCAAGAAGGAGCCGTGGGAAATACAGACACCACCACAACAACAACAACAACACTTCCTCCTGAACTCACAAACAACAAGAAGGGTGATGCAGACAGCAGCAGCAGTATCAGCAGTTCTGTGTGGGTGCGTGT